ATCTGCTGCAAGGATAGATTTGGAAAGTTAATCTGCTGGGTTATTTTTAAGGCCATGATTGGTGATTTAAAAAGAGAGAAATCAACACAATACTCTCTATAAATACCCAAGTCTAGCAAGAGAGAGAGAGGATCACATTTCATCATTTAATTCACCGTTTTTCTTCTTCTCTTTCCTAGGGTTTTTAGTTTTTTTCTTCTTTTTTTTAGCTTTTTTTTCCATTGTTTACTTTACAAACTCTCTTTAAATTCAAGTCTTTAATTTTTGTACATCAATTATGATTGTTTACTTTCTGTGAACGAGTTCTTCCCATTGCTATTTTAATACAAGGTATTTAAAGTACTTGCAATTGCAATTCTTGTCTTTTTGCTTTAATTTACATGATGTTTTCTTTAACCGATTTTAATTTATTTTCTGCCATGCATGAGTAGTCGTTCACTGGTTTTATTGAATGAAGTAGTCTCATCCATAAATTGAGAATTTCGACTCAAAATTAGGGTTAGTCTACTGTCAAGTTATTTGAGTCAATTGAATAGATTAATTGGGAAGATGTTCAGTTGTATATCTTCTTTCTTACCTGTCAACAACTAAGATTTGACACAGATAATTCTTGTTATCACTACAATTGAATTAATTATACTAATCGATTCAATTGATTCAAGAACACATTTGTTAATTAAATTGGGTGTTTAATGAATATTTACTGACTGGGTGAAGCTTGACTATAAGCTCAAGTAAGTTATAGAATTTCAGTGAAAATACCTAATCACGATGAGGTAATCTCTACCAACCAACCAATGTTTTATTTAAGTGTTATTTTTTTAATTAATTAAGTTTTCCAACTCTCAAATACTCTAAAAATTATGAACATCTATTTCTCGTTGTTTTATCACCCTTCGAACCAACTATCTTCCTTAAGGAAACGAACTCGGTAATCAACCGAGTTACAAACGATACCACTTCCTGCGCTTGGGAATTCCTGTTAATTGAATACAACTCTAAGGAGAAAGTATTTTTGGCATCGCTGCCGAAGAAGACAAGGTGTTTCAAGAGGTGATTCAGAGGTCGATAATNCTTCTTTTTTTTAGCTTTTTTTTCCATTGTTTACTTTACAAACTCTCTTTAAATTCAAGTCTTTAATTTTTGTACATCAATTATGATTGTTTACTTTCTGTGAACGAGTTCTTCCCATTGCTATTTTAATACAAGGTATTTAAAGTACTTGCAATTGCAATTCTTGTCTTTTTGCTTTAATTTACATGATGTTTTCTTTAACCGATTTTAATTTATTTTCTGCCATGCATGAGTAGTCGTTCACTGGTTTTATTGAATGAAGTAGTCTCATCCATAAATTGAGAATTTCGACTCAAAATTAGGGTTAGTCTACTGTCAAGTTATTTGAGTCAATTGAATAGATTAATTGGGAAGATGTTCAGTTGTATATCTTCTTTCTTACCTGTCAACAACTAAGATTTGACACAGATAATTCTTGTTATCACTACAATTGAATTAATTATACTAATCGATTCAATTGATTCAAGAACACATTTGTTAATTAAATTGGGTGTTTAATGAATATTTACTGACTGGGTGAAGCTTGACTATAAGCTCAAGTAAGTTATAGAATTTCAGTGAAAATACCTAATCACGATGAGGTAATCTCTACCAACCAACCAATGTTTTATTTAAGTGTTATTTTTTTAATTAATTAAGTTTTCCAACTCTCAAATACTCTAAAAATTATGAACATCTATTTCTCGTTGTTTTATCACCCTTCGAACCAACTATCTTCCTTAAGGAAACGAACTCGGTAATCAACCGAGTTACAAACGATACCACTTCCTGCGCTTGGGAATTCCTGTTAATTGAATACAACTCTAAGGAGAAAGTATTTTTGGCATCGCTGCCGAAGAAGACAAGGTGTTTCAAGAGGTGATTCAGAGGTCGATAATGTAGGTCTCGTGATTCACATCACTAGCTCAGGTGCATTCTTTGTTGTAATTTATCTTTAATTTGCTTACACAGTCTTCCCCCGTTTGTTGCATGCAAGGCAAATTGCCTTTGAACGTTTTCGAGTCAACCCCCTTGGCCCCTTGTTGGCCAATATGCTTCATTTTCTTGTTGGTTTTTTGTCCTTTTTCAATCACATGTGTTTTTGACTCCATGAATGATTACCTACTTTCTTTTCAGAAACTCTATTGTCCTTCTCAATCCTTATTCTAATAATCAAGTTTTCAAGTTTCATTTCTGTGTGTTTCTGCTTCAAGTAATTCTTAAATTTGTTCCAATGTGACGACAATTTTTCAATGATTGCAGCCACTTGAAAAGATTTACTAAGCACCATCCCTTCGGTATGAATTTTATGCCGAATCATTTGAAGATCTTGAACTTGACTATTGAGAGTATTGGAATCCACCATTTTGTGATCAAATAATCTACTCACAATGAATTTCTTTATTCCGACATCTTTTGTTTTGTAATTTTTTTCCAAGAATTCCCATAGCTCTCTGGCTATCATAATTGCATATACACATTATATACTATCTTATCCATTGAGAATTGTACAGAAATTAGAATGTTTTCATACATCAACTATGGCAACCACTTGTTGGTCCGTCTCATTCTCACAAAAAATAAGATCATCCTCAGAAAGAAATTTTGGAAGATTCAATGTAGTGAGATAGAAAAACACCTTTTTGTTGTCACCTCTTGATATCGTTCTTATTGAACTTTTTCAATTTCTCTCAGACACATGAGTAGAAACAATAATAAGCACTGAATTTATAGTAGTAGAACTACTATTCTCATTTGTAGCCATCTTTTATATAAAAAAAATTGAAAAATATTCAAAAATAAAAAGCAATAACACTTTATTAAAATAGAGATAGCCAATGTTACAAGTAAATGTTTCTAATTTATATTATTGTCCAAAGTCACTGTTCTATATTATTGTTGTTGTCCAACCTTACTGTAATTATCCAACGTTAACACAAATCAGAAACACAATAAGTAATTATAAAAAATTTGTCTTAAGATTATTGGGAGGCTAATATCATATATGCATTTTACTTATTAACATCTCTGATATAGATTATGCAATTGAGAACGAAAAACAGTAACGCATAAAACTAACCTGATTGTCAAACATGAATGATTTAAGAATTTGAACAAGTCTAGTGTTTCACATTATGTCTTTAAGACAAATTCCGCCTACTCTCCAATGCTTATGGATACTTGAGAGTCTGCCTCCCAAGATATAATATTCATGCACACAGAAAAAGCACTGCAATTTGCTTACCTAGCAAACAAACTATGCTGTGTACTCTCTATTATGAGCAACCCTAATGTAGACACTCAATGTAATTTGGAACTATGAAAATGATTCTTTTTTTTTTTTTAATGCATATGATTCTAGATTTATATAGATGGAATGATGTCTATACTGAACAATCACCATGTGAGCTGAAGCAACCCAAAAGATGTTTGTTAATAAACAAATACCAATTCAAATTTAAACTGGTGCACTTTGAATTCGAATTTTTGGTGCGAAATTTGAATACCAATGGTTTAAGAATTTATGACCCAATTTGGCCAAAAAATTTAGCCCAAAAAGATAAACTTATATTAAACCCACTCTTGAACCCAAGTCTGGCCCGACCGAATCAAGGCGGTAGCTACACGCGTGTTGTTGAACCCAAGCCCATGTAGGTCGTTCCCCTTCCCCAAAATTATGGTGCCCCTTGGGGCCCAACCCATAGACTTAAACTTGCACTATATATAATCACCAAGTTTTTCTTGCCCAAGTAATGTAGGATTGGTGTTTCCACACTTGTATTCCAATACACTTTCTCTTTCACATGGGTCACTTTTTGAGCAAATTTTTTCATTCTTCTTTTACTTAGATTTGAGTAAATGAGCATATAGTGTCGATCTCCTCGTGGAGTCAATGTGGACCCATAAAATTTGACTTTAAAAGACAAATGGGTCCCACTCAAAATTTGACTCAAAGTTGATACAAAATCTGAGTTTTTAGATTAACACAATGGTAAACACTAGCCTTAATAAAATTGTATAACAATTCATGTTGGGCAATCCAGTCACTTTATTTATCAAAAATATTATTAAGTAATCTGCATATATAATGCATCCTAGCTCCCAACAATTTATGCCGCTGGCTAAGTTTTTAGTCAACACACCCATCCCATCCTCGATTAACAAGGACCCAACTGTGCAATAACCCCACTTCCCGTGTTACTGGTGCAAGATGACCAATGATCCTCCTTTGAATACCATATATATATGTGTGTGCGTGTGTATGTGGAGAGAGAGAGAGAGAGAGAGAGAGGGGGGAATCGAGTACTGTGTCAAACTGTGAAACAATAACTCCTCATGATTATTAATCCAAGGTCTTTGGCCTATAAACACTTGTATAAATCTGTTTACCAATGAGGAAGCTGAGAAACAGTAACCTTATTATCAAACACATTACACTCCACAACATCATAGTGTCAAACTGTGAAACAATAACTCCTCATGATTATTAATCCAAGGTCTTTGGCCTTTAAACACTTGTATAAATCTGTTTACCAATGAGGAAACTGAGAAACAGTAACCTTATTATCAAACACATTACACTCCACAACATCATAGTGTCAAACTGTGAAACAATAACTCCTCATGATTATTAATCCAAGGTCTTTGGCCTTTAAACACTTGTATAAATCTGTTTACCAATGAGGAAGCTGAGAAACAGTAACCTTATTATCAAACACATTACACTCCACAACATCATAGTGTCAAACTGTGAAACAATAACTCCTCATGATTATTAATCCAAGGTCTTTGGCCTTTAAACACTTGTATAAATCTGTTTACCAATGAGGAAACTGAGAAACACTAACCTTATTATCAAACACATTACACTCCACAACATCATAAAAAAATTCAGATAAGCACACTAGGTAAGCCCAAATATAGATATAAAGAGATCAAGAACATGATCATGCTTTAGAATCCAGGGCCAGGATGGTGCTGAGATTCATGGGGTGCATGTACTCAGTCGATCCAGTCATGATCTGTTGTACAATAATTTTGTTTGCCTTTTCAGAAGGGTGGAATGGATCCCAAAATGCATACAAGTCTCTGTTTGGGCACAGGTTGGAGAGAGGGGTGCAGAGACCAATCCCATTGTATGGTCCTTGCCCACAACATGCTATCTTTGATGTAACAAATCCTGCCAGTCAACCATATTATGCAGGTCAGATTATTTTCAAATTCTAAGAAGTGTCGTATATGATCAGAATTTGCATCATTGCATTCTAATCTAAATCTGATCTGGCTACATTTTCTTTAATTTTTTTCGTATATTGATGAATGACCCACTTATACATATTACATCTTACTTGGAAAAATTGAAGAACATATCTTTGGTTTGTTTTTAAATATATCACTTTTGACAAGTACATTCATAACTTTGGCCCAACATATCTTTTCCTGATTAATGCCAGTGTTACGTTTTGAAATTCTTATTCTCCTCATCTATTTTTACAACTGCTTTGACTATAGTTCCCAATTCTACCAGCTGGAAGTATGAAGGAAAATTATATCTTATGTACCGACATAATATACACATACAAATATATAAAAAAAATTACATTTGTTTAATGTATATATATACATATACACACACACAACAGAGATAACTTGTGTTTGAAGACACGGTGCAATGTAAATAGTTTTAAGAGGTATGTTGGTGGTCATTAGATGAGTTTATTTGAAACCATAAAATAGATTTATTCATTCACTATGGATCATTCAATAAGATTGATAATATCAAATTTGTACGTGCATAAAATATATAAGAATCAGCTTCATATGGTATAGAGTAATTATTATTTTCAATAAAATTAATTAAAACTAATCGAATTATTAGATCTAAAAAAATCAATTCATCAAATAATCAATAATTTTAGTTTAATTTCATTATATAATCACTCAAGTATTAAATTTCATCACACTTTTGGAAAATGAAGAAAGAGAGGTAGAGAGAGAGAGAAGAGCAGATTTTTGAAATAAATATTCTAAATTATTTTTAACTTTATATATGTGGGGTTAGAATATATTATAATTTGTCCTTTTAGCTATGACACTAATTTCACTTTAACACTAATTATTGATTCGATCATGTTGCACCATAAATAATTTAAAATAGTCTGAAATTTATAAATTTGTAAAATACCAAAATTTTAACGATTTATGAAAAATGTCACAATTTTAATAGTTAATGGCTCAATATGATTAAATCAATAGTCGAGGGGATAAAATAAAATCAAGATTATAATATATTGTATAAAGTATATTTTTAAGAATTTGCGTGGCATATAAAATATGATCAAAAACATAATTTTAGAAGTATAATTAAAATTTCAAAAAGTTAAGAACATGAGTCCACTTACATCTTTCTCAAAATTATTCAATTGCACCGTATCTTCAGGTACGAATTACTCTTAATATATAAATATATAGGATAAATCTAGCCTTATGGCTGTACTAGGGGGGGACTGTACAACATATATGATGATCAATACTACAGCAAATTTAACTAAGTTGAGAGTGAAAATTGCGTCCTTAGAAGTAGATCAACTTACCATATGCTTGGGGATTGCTGATGAAATCACTGTGCATTAGTTGTGTATTTGTAGCAATGAAGACATCACTGCCTATTTTTCTGTTGAGTCCGTTTAGCATCTGAGTGAGTTGGGGGTTAAACAAGGTTGAAGCTTGTTGCAATACAGGCACACACTGGCCATTTCTGCTGCGCATGCCCAGTTCTGCCGGGACGCAACCCAGCGGTCCGGTTCCAGTCACGAGAACCCTACGAGCTCCCAGTTCATAGAGCCTCTGCAATAAAGGTAACAATGATGCAATAAACTGTAATTAGGTGAATGATGAGTTTGTTTGTGTGGCCATGTGTGCGTGTGTTGTGGCGGAGCTAGAAATTTTTTTTTCTTTTTGTTGGAATTATCGAAAACATTAACTTCAGAAAATTATATATACAAAAAATATACTTATTAATATTGCATCGTCTACTTGATAAACTAATTTAAACTCTTGGAGTCATAGGTAAAAGACCTTTTTGATTTTCCAAACGTAAAGACTTTCTTTGATTCTGCTCAAATATACAAAGATGAACAAAGGAGTGGGATACGAAAATATCAACACAATGAAAGTGTTTTTTTTTTTTGATAAAATGCAATTAGTAAATAAATAAACTTTTACCATTTGTGAATCCCCTGTGTGGTTTGTATAGGGCTTTGAAGTCCACTTCCTATATTTTCTCAATCAATTGAGTTGGGTCATTCTAAATAATCCATCCCTTTAATATTCATCTCTATGGCAACGAAACCAAAAACCTCGAAGTTGAGGGCTAAATTAATAATATTAACACCTTTGAGGGCTAACAAAAAATTTGGGTTAATTACATATTAACCCCCTTAACTATAGCCTTAATCTCACTTTGCCCCCAAAATGCTTATTGAGGTTTTCACATTGTCCTTTTTAACTATAGTTATTGATTCGATATTAGCCCAAAAATAGGCGTCTGTTATTTTTTGATGACAAATATTTACATATAAAGGTAAAATAAAATAAAATCACATAGTTTGGGGATAAAAAATAAATGACATTAATAATTGGTCAATGTAAAACAAATAAGCATAGTTTAATTTGCAATAAGTTGAATCAAATCATGCATGTAAGTGTAAGTGTGTGTGAGAGAGAGGGAGACGGGGGACCCCCCGTCGGGGGGGTCAATAAAGAAGACAACATAATGGATGCATGGCCATTGTCAACTTGTCTTCCCAAACTACATCATAGAGCTGATCCTCTCATGCACATATAGTACCCTTTTTCAGATTTTAAAACGGCTGTGTACAAAATGCGACCACCTTATTTACTCGCTCCTTGCCTAGCTGCTACTAACTTCATGTGACAGTCCCCAGTCTACAGCTATAAATCTGAAAAAGGGTACCTGTTTAGGTATGGTCATGTCCGTGTCGACATTGACGCTTCTAAGAAACACTCCTGTATTAGCTGCCCTAAACACATGAATCCATTAAAGACATCTCTCAAACTTTTCTTTGGTGCACATTTTTTTTTAATGGATAAAGGAAAGTACAATTACAGGTTAATTTAAATAATCAAATAAATTTGCCATTTTTTTAGAAGCATAATGTGATTTATGCCAAAGATTTGTAACTGTAAAGGGTAGCTGGCTGGAGAGAGTAGCCTTTATAATTCTAGGATTTGAATTTAGTACCGAATGAGTTTATGATTTTTGTGGGTTAAGATAAAAGTTTTTAGAATCTAGTTATAATTAAAAAATTTAGAATCACTCATAAAATCTAGTTACAATCTAGTTACAACAATTTTTGGGGATCAGGTTAACTTTTAAGGTTCCACTTATAATTTTTTGGGGTGTTTAAAATTGATCACTCCAAAATATTGGGATGAATCATAAAAAGGTCAAAATATCAAAAATTATACGAAAACTTCTAAAAAGTTATAAATAGCAGTATGATACTTATTTTTTCTCTAGTACCATAGCATTCTCCATAATTTTAATGACATGTTCATTTTTTCCCTAATAACAGAAAATCGTTTCAACCACTTTCAGTCGGATTTGCAACTACTACATAAACTTGAGATGCCCACGCTCATTCTTAAATAACATGCATCAAATCAAATCAGCCAAAACATTTTTTATAAGATTCGAACTTCAGAGCAGAAGCCAATAACATGAACATCTGAACATAGCTTTGCTTTTCTAACGCAAACAGACACAGTTGCATACACCCATATACAAACACATTTAAGTACCTAAATGCATACGAAGAAAATTAGCAATAGATATTCTAACAGGTGTGTGGGGGATTGTAGGGCTCTCAATGGATGTGTAGGCTATTAATGAGTATGTTATCTTGCATTCATAGTTAGTAATAAATTCGTATCGGCTCATTTATGGGTCGAATTTTACAGATCAATTAGCTTATAACGCACATCTATTAGTGTTCAATCCATATGCACCAAGTTTTGTGGTGGTTTCATGTCGAATGAACGAGTATGAAAAGACCTATGGAAAGAGAGGGGGTGGGGGGGGGGGGGGT